GCTCCTGACCGTCCACGCGTGGGTCCTCCACGCCACCGCCGCCTCCCCCGGAGCCCCCAGCTGCCCCTCCGTCTGCTCCTGTAGCAACCAGTTCAGCAAGGTGGTGTGTACGCGGCGCGGCCTGGCCGAGGTCCCCCCCGGGATCCCCTCCAACACCCGGTATCTCAATCTCATGGAGAACAACATCCAGATGGTCCAAGCGGATACCTTCCGGCACCTACACCACCTGGAGGTCTTGCAGTTGGGTCGGAACGCCATCCGGCAAATCGAGGTAGGGGCGTTCAACGGGTTGGCCAGCCTCAACACCTTGGAGCTCTTCGACAACTGGTTGACGGTTATTCCCAGCGGGGCCTTCGAGTACCTCTCCAAACTGCGGGAATTGTGGTTGAGGAACAACCCCATCGAGAGCATCCCGTCCTACGCCTTCAACCGCGTGCCCTCCCTCATGCGCCTGGATCTGGGCGAGCTGAAAAAGCTGGAATACATCTCCGAGGGAGCGTTCGAGGGGTTGTACAACCTCAAGTACCTCAACCTGGGGATGTGCAACATCAAGGAGATGCCCAACCTGACGCCCTTGGTGGGGCTGGAGGAGCTGGAGATGTCGGGCAACAACTTCCCCGAGATCAAACCGGGCTCCTTCCACGGCCTCAAATCCCTCAAAAAACTCTGGATTATGAACTCGCAGATCAACGTCATCGAGCGGAACGCCTTCGACGACTTGACGGCGCTGGTGGAGCTCAACCTGGCCCACAACAACCTCTCCTCCTTGCCCCACGACCTCTTCGCCCCGTTGCGGTACTTGGTGGAACTCCACCTCCACCACAACCCCTGGGACTGCGACTGCGACATCCTCTGGTTGTCGTGGTGGTTGCGGGAATACATTCCCACCAACTCGACCTGCTGCGGGCGCTGCCATGCCCCCCTGCACATGCGGGGTCGCTTTTTGGTGGAGGTGGACCAGACCTCCTTCCAGTGCTCGGCGCCCTTCATCATGGACGCTCCCGCGGACCTCAACATCTCCGAGGGGCGGGTGGCCGAGCTCAAGTGTCGGACTCCATCCATGTCTTCCGTTCGGTGGTTGCTGCCTAACGGGACGGTGCTGAGCCACGCGTCCAACCACCCGCGCCTCTCCGTCCTCAACGACGGCACCTTGAACTTCTCCCACGTCCTGCTGACGGACACCGGGGTGTACACCTGCATGGTGACCAACGTGGCGGGTAATTCCAACGCCTCGGCCTACCTCAACGTGAGCACGGCCGAGCTCAACACCTCCAACTACAGCTTCTTCACCACCGTCACGGTGGAGACCACCGAGATCTCCCCGGAGGACATCTCCCCCAAGTTCACCAAGCCCGTACCCACCACGGCGACGGGCTACCAACCGGCCTACACCACCACCACCACCGTTTTGGTCCAAACCACCCGGACGCCCAAACAGGTGCCGGTACCCACCGCCGACACCGGCGGCGACAAGACGCAAACCAGCCTGGACGAGGTGATGAAGACCACCAAGATCATCATCGGTTGTTTCGTGGCGGTGACGCTCTTGGCCGCCGCCATGCTCATCGTCTTCTACAAACTCCGCAAGCGGCACCAACAACGCAGCACCGTCACCGCCGCCCGCACCGTGGAGATTATCCAGGTGGATGAGGACATCCCGGCACCCGGCACCGGCGCCGGAGCAGGTGAGGGGGCCGTCGTGTTGCCCGCCGTTCGCGACCACGTCAACTACAACACCTACAAACCGGCGCACGGGGCCCACTGGACAGAGAACAGTTTGGCCAACTCCCTGCACCCCCCCCCGGGCACCACCCTCTCCGAATCCTACGTCATCCAGACCCACACCAAGGAAAAAGTCCAGGAAACCCAAATATGACCTACGGGTGGGTTATGTTTTTTTTTTCCCGGGGGGAGAGAGAGAGGGGGTGTTTTTATTATTTCCCCCCCC